TCATGTGCTCTCTCTCATTCTCTCTGTCTCAAATAAATAAATAAAATCTTTAAAAAAACAAAAACAAAACCATAGGTCTTTTATAAAAGTTGTATCAGAAAACAAATAGCAAGTAACTGTTACAACAAAGAGACTTTTAAAAATATTTTATTTAAACCCACAATTTAGAGATGAAGAAATTAAATCCAAAATTAACTTTGGGAAATTAAATGCCCAAAGTCTAAGGCAACAAAAGTAAAAATAAACAGGGGCACCTGGGTGGCTCAGTTGTTAAGCGTCTGCCTTCAGCTCAGGTCATGATCCCAGAGTCCTGAGATCAAGCCCCGCATCAGGCTCCTTGCTCAGTGGGAAGCCTGCTTCTCCCTCTCCCATTCCCCCTGCTTGTGTTCCCTCTCTCACTGTCTCTCTCTGTCAAATAAATAAAATCTTTTTTAAAAAAAGTAAAAATAAACAAATGAGACTATATCAAACTAAAAAGCTTCTGCATATCAACACACACACACACACAAAGCAAAAACAAAAAAATCAACAAAATGAAATGGCAACCTACTGAGGGGGAGAAAATATTTGTAAATCATTTATCTGATAAGGGGCTAATATCCAACATATACAAGGAATTCATACAACTCCGCTGCAAAAAACAATCCGACTGAAAATAGACAGAGGATCCGAATAGACATTTTTCCAAGAAGACATACAGATGGCCAACAGATACATGGAAAGATGTTTAACATCACTCATCATCAGGGAAGTGCAAATTAATACAACAATGAAATATCACCTCATACCTGTTAGAATTGCTATATCAAAAAGATAAGAGATAACAAGTGTTGACAAGGATATGGAAAAAAGGGAACTTTTTTTTTAAAGATTTTTATTTATTTATTTGACAGAGAGACACAGTGAGAAAGGAAACACAAGCAGGGGGAGTGGGAGAGGGAGAAGCAGGCCTCCCTCCGAGCAGGGAGCCCGACGAGGGGCCCGATCCCAGGACCCTGGGATCACGACCTGAGCTGAAGGCAGACGCTTAATGACTGAGCCACCCAGGCGCCCCAAAAGGGAACTTTTGTGCATTGTTGGAGAGAATGTAAATAGGTGCAACCACTATGGAAAATAGTATGGAGGTTCCTCAAAAATGTTTTTTTTATTTTTTTTTTAAAGATTTTATTTATTTATTTGACAGATAGAGAGCACAAGTAGGCAGAGCTGCAGGCAGAGGGAGAAGAAGCAGCCTCCCCACTGAGCAGGGAGTCCGATGCGGGGCTCGACCCCAGGACCCCGGTATCATGACCTGAGCTGAACGCAGCCGCTTAACCGACTGAGCCACCCAGGCACCCCTCAAAAATGTTTAAATACACCTACCATATGATCCAGAAATTCTACTTCTGGGTATTTATCAGAAAAAAATGAAAACACTAATTCAAAAAGATATATGCAACCTCATGTTTACTGCAACATTATTTACAATAGCAAAGATAAGGAAACAACCTAAGTGTCCACCAACAAATGAATGTATAAAGAAAACGGGACACATACTATATGTTTATATTTATATATACATGGAATATTTTTGAGCCACAAAAAAAGAAGAAAATCTTGCCATTTGCAAAAACATGGGTGGACTCTGAGGGCATTATGTTAAGTAAAATAAGTCAGATAATAAAAGATAAATGTGGTGATCTCACATGTGGGATCTTAAAAAGCAAACAAACAAACAAAACCCCAAGCTCACAGATACAGAGAAGAGACTAGTAGCTGCCAGAGGCGGGGTGGGGATGAAATGAGTGAAGGAGGTCAGAAAGTATTTCCAGGGGCATCTGGGTGGCTTAGTTGTTAAGTGCCCAACTCTTGGTTTTGGCTCAAGGTTGTGATCTCAGGGCTGTGAGACTGATCCCCACATTGGGTTCCACACACAGCGGGGAGTCTGCTTGGGATTCTCTCTCCCTCCCTCTCCCTCTGCCCCTCCCCAACCCCCATGTTCTCTCTCTAAAATAAATAAATAAGGAAATCTTAAAAGAAAAGTATTTCCAATTATAAATTTCCAGTTATAAGATATATTTCCAGTTATAAAATAAGTAAGTCATGGAGGGAAAATGCCCAACGTCTTATAACTAGTTAGTGGCAAAGCTGGGACAAGATCACATTTCCTGTATTGAAAATAAGTGTTCTTTTTCACTACCTATATAATGCTATTTCCCAGAAGCCCAACTTTAAAATATTTTACAGATTAACACAGTAAATCTCTATAACTGATTAACTTGAATGAAGCTTTCCTCATAGTAAAGTTAGCTAATTTGCAAATCTGTCATCATAATATACTGTCAAAGCTGTAAGAACCTCTGATCAACTTGAAAAAAATATGGTTATTTCTCTTCAATAAACTTATACTTTAGAAGACATGGGTGAGGCAACATCAATGACCTCCTCAAAAGACACATATACATATGTATATATATCTCCTCTACAGGAGTACAGACCAATAGAATTTTATGCAATGGATAGAAACGTTCTACATTTGCACTGTCCACGGTGGTAGCTAATAAGTAACTAATGAGCACTTAAGACACTGTTAGTGCAACTGAGGGCCAAATATTTTGTTTAATTTTTATTAAGTTAAATTTCAATAGCCACACAGGCTAGTGACTACCATCTTGGATACACAGTCTTAGAGTAAAGTCATAAAGATCTGAGAGGTACTTTGCAAAGATTTGGAAATAGATTACATCCCTATACTGTTCAGTCCTATTAATGTAAAATAATTAACATAGAGTAATGACTATGAGATATTACATTATTTTGAAATGTTTTTATTAACTCCATGACTACCTTCATCTTCCAATCTATGTATCAGAGAGCAGGATATTATATGCCATGGGAGAAAACCTTTATGGCGGGTGCAAGGTTGGGCGAAGAATGAACAAACCCTCCTCCTCTAAAAAAAATTAGAGAATCTCTTCAAGTGCCCAGCCTGCTCCAATGATCACAGAAGGGTCACAAAGCCCCAGGGGATCTTTCCAGGCATGAAACAAGTTCCACAACTCAGCTCTAATTCTTTCACTGGATGAATCACTGGATACACATAAGCCAAGGTCCCAGCTACACCAAATAACAATTTTTACATTACCACAAATTATACAGTCAAAGAGAAAAGAAACACATGTAGTTTTAGGCAAGGGCTTCATTAATTTATGACTACATATGAATTTATGTGCCACATATGGATTTTCTAATACTTAAATACTTATCTAAAAATTATCTTTCAGCTAGGGATATGGATTTTTTAACATCAAGAAAAATGTGGAGAAGGGCTCATTTTACTCATAGGGATATCATAATATTTCCCTGATTAGCTCATCACCTTTTAGTAATACTGTTTTAATTTCTATATTTTCATTAGCATACTTCCCTATACTCATTTTCTCCTATATTCTCCATCCATTTGTTCAGCATACTTTATTACCCTTGTTAGTAATTCTTCTTTTCTCTTACATGACCCTTTTCCCTTAGAATCTTTCTAACCCTCATCAAACCTAAACAGTATTTTGTAAATGAACTATCTGCTGTTGAAAAAAGCACATTACATAGGGATTATTGGTCTCTAAATGCACTCAGTTCCCTCCTAGCTTTTTCACCTAGTTTTGTGAAGGCCCAAAGGGTCACAGATAAGAGAATATGTGGATGGCTCAACACAATCAGTTACTACCATAAATAAGTCAAGCATAAATCTTGCTGACAGTGGGAAGTCTGGACCAGGAAATAATACCAAAAGAAATGCCATCTTCAAGTATAAAAACCCATGATTTGTGTATGTTCCAAGGGCAAATGATTTGCACGTGTTCCAGAGGCCCAGCATGTAGACACTGTACATATCTGTATGTGTGTGCTGCTCAGCTTGCTTAAAAACAAACAGTAACTCAGGGCCAGCACTATCATAAACAGGTTTCTGAAAGATTGCGTTTTTTTTTTAAAGGTGTTTATTTTTCTTTTTTTAGAGAGAGAGGGAGAGGGGGGAGGGCCAAAGGGAGGGGGAGAGAGAGAATACTAAGCAGGCTCCATGCCCAGTGCTGAGCCCGACATGGGACTCGATCTCACAACCCTGAGATCATGACCTGAACCTGATAAATCAAGAGTTGACACTTAACCTGGGCGCCTGGGTGGCTCAGTTGTTAAGCATCTGCCTTCGGCTCAGGTCATGGTCCCAGGGTCCTAGGATCGAGCGCTGCATTGGGCTCCCTGCTTAGCGGGAAGCCTGCTTCTCCCTCTCCCACTCCCCCTGCTTATGTTCCCTCTCTCGCTGTGTCTCTCTCTGTCAAATAAATAAATAAAATCTTAAAAAAAAAAAAAGTTGACACTTAACCAACTGAGCCACCCAGGTGCCCCTAAAATGTTTTAATAAGGATGAGCATCTGATCAACTCAGAAGATCCTCTTCTTTCCTATCTGCTTATGATGGTGGCAATGAGTGAAGTTATAGCAAGTCAAAGGCTTCTAACAGGATGAGATTACAAAGAAAATACAAAATATATACAAACATGTCAATATATCTATATATGTTTTCACATCTAGCACTTATAAACTATTTTTGAAATTTATGGGAATTGGTAATATAAGCTGGAGTTTAATAAGATGGAATTCTTTGTAAACAAGAGGTAATGTATCAAGGTAGACCTAATCAGCAGCATGACTTTGGTCAATTTACGTTTTGTGTATATTAATAATACCTAACTGGGGTTGTTATAATGATTAGATGGGTTAATGTATGTCAACTGCTTAAAACAGTAGCTGCCATGTAGTAAATCTTATACTTGACCACACCAATATTAAAAGGGGACTTTGCATGGAAATGTGATAGCACTTTAAAAGTATTTATAAGTAATTGCTATTGCTTTTTTCCACCTCATCATACATAGCACCTGTTCATTTTATGAAATATAGATAAGAAAAACAGAGGGTAGACACTGAGCTGTGAGCTGTTCCAGGGTGTCTTTTGGAGTCAGCACCATGGAAAAAGACACCAAGACCAAAATCAAGAACTACTGGACTGCCCCTTCTGAGAGCCACTTCCCCAACCAGAACCAGACCAAGAAATGCTGGCAGGACCACCTGGACCTCCAGCGCTGTGAAAAGATGATGACTGATAAAGGCGGTGTTGTCTCCACGTGTCAATGGTACCAGTGTGTGTACAAGTCCCTCTGCCCCATATCCTGGGTGTCAACCTAGGATGATCACCAAGCAGAAGGCACATTTCCTGGCAAGATCTGAAACGGGTCTACTCCACCTCTCCTCTGTCCTCCATCCTTCTCCCAGTGTTGTGAAGGCGGGAGAAGGTACATGGCAATCCCCACCCTGGGATCCTGAATCACGGTTTAACTAATAATAAATACTTGCTGGAAATGTGTTTTAAAAACAAAACAAAACAGAGGGTAAAAATCACCTGAAATTCCATCATATCACTATTGCCTTTTTTTTTTACGATTTTGTTACCTAATTTATTACAATAAATTTCCATTTTCTCATATGCATAGACAGATGGAGTTACAATATTTTTAAATGTTGAGACCCAACTATACCCAATTTTTCTTTTTTTAAGATTTTATTTATTTATTTATTTCACAGAGAGAGACACAGTGAGAGAGGGAACACAAGCAGGGGGAATGGGAGAGGGAGAAGCAGGCTTCCCGCTGAGCAGGGAGCCCGATGCGGGGCTCGATCCCAGGACTCCGGGATCATGATCTGAACCGAAGGCAGACGCTTAACAACTGAGCCACCCAGGCACCCTTATACCCAGTGTTTTATACTCTACTACTTTTCATTTGGCAAGGTAACTAAATATCTTTCCTTTGCACTGAACACTTCGAATGCCAAATGTTCCCCCCTCCCACCCTTTTCCCAGGCATATTCTCATTTTTTGAAACTTGTATATTAAAAAACAGGGACAGGGGCGCCTGGGTGGCTAAGTTGGTTAAGCGACTGCCTTAGGCTCAGGTCATGATCCTGGAGTCCCTGGATCGAGTCCCGCATCGGGCTCCCTACTCAGCGAGGAGCCTGCTTCTCCCTCTAACCCTCCCCCCTCTCATGTACTCTCTCTCTCTCATTCTCGCTCTCTCAAATAAATAAATAAATCTTTAAAAAAAAAAAAAAAAAAAACAGGGACAAAACTGCTCTGATTGAGCAGAATGGAGTTTGGCCTCCCCCCTCCCAGTGGTCCTCAAAGTACCCTGAAGGAAATCAAAGACACTTCTGAATACAGTTTAACAATCTAACTTTAAAAACACCATTTAAAAAAAACTGGCTACATTACATGGGGGTTTATAATTTAACCAATCATCTAATAATAAACATTTGTTTCCAATTCTTTGTTTTTATAAAAAGTGCTTTGACAAAAATCTCTGTGTACATCCATTCCTATTCACAGGCTTTTGATGTGCATTGCCAAATTATACTGTAGAAACTTGCATCAGTATATATCTCTGCCAGAGGTATAGGAGACTATTTCTCTCCAATTTCCACAACATCAAGTATTATCATTAAAATAGTATTAATAATAACTTGCCAAACTCTCATCTGTTAAGTGTTGCTTTAAACTTATATTTCTTTAGTTTCTGTATTTATACTTTTCTGAATTTCTACGTCCCTGTCCTTTGCCTGTTTTTGACAAAGATGCTTGTTTTTTCTTACTAATACACAAGACTTCTTTATACTTCAAGGACATTAACCCTTTGTCTATGTGTTGTAAATAATTTTCTTACTTCATACTCTGCCTTTCAATTTCCCAACAAGTTTCTCCAAGTGACTGAAGTCTGGTTAATGATACAGTTAATATGAAAAAGATCCACACATATTTAATTTATACATAATGTACTCACTTTGCTTAAATGTCTGAGACGCCGATGTGTAAATAAATTGTACTTTATAAAATAAAAATATATTTGGAATAAGAGATTTCACTCATTATATAAACAGCCATCATTATTTTTATAAGTAATAGGTAATCTATATATAAATTTGACTTTAAGTGTCAACATCAGTGAATGATTAATGATACTGGATTCTAAGAGGAAACGAACGAGCGAGAATAAATTAATTTTTCATACATGCAGCTGTAACATGACACAGCTGTGAAGTTTGAAGAGAAAAACCAGTTAAATATAAATGGTGAAGGTCAAAAAAATTTTTAAATCACGAATAATAGCCTTATTATTATCTAGATTTTAACAATTAATTAAACTATTATGCTAACAGTAAAATTAGATGAAGTAAATCATCTAATCCTAAATTATCTGGGTATATGTTCATTGTTAAGTATGCTCCCTGTTAAAATTTAACATTGAAAAATCTAAATAAAATGATAAAATGTTAATGAATTTTACATTCCTCTTTTAGCTTCACTTTATGCTTTAAGAATGAAATGTAGTCTCAGGACTTCAATTATATGATAGGTTTGAAGTCCACTGCAATGAACTTCAACCATTTCTAGGTTTTTCCCTTATAGAGTTTTATAATGTGACACACTTCTTAAAATTACAGGCCATGAATTAGATATGTTAATTTTAATATTCTGTTATATTGTGGTTTGATCTGTATTACACATCATATCTAAAATTATTTTATATATGGTTAAAACAAATTAAGTATAGTATACCTTTTAACTTTTACAGTATAAAAAAGTTTAAAATAATCTTTCAACCAGTCAGGCTTCTCCAATAATGGAACCTTTTTCTCCTTAGTTTGTCATGATGTATAAATAAGACATTTTTTTTTTCAAAGTCATCTAAAGAAGACAACCTTATCAAATAGGCACAAGGGGAATAAATTAAGGATGAAAGGCTAGTGTTCCTTCCAATGAGCACCACTAATACCAATGGGGATGCCAGGCCTTTTAACCCAGAAGTACCAGCCTTCACTTATGTTCTCAGACTAATTTTTATACGATGTGAACCCAGCCACACGCAGATTATAAATTCTAATTTCGATATGAGTATGAATATCTTACCATTACTAAATTCTACCCTCATCATTATTTTCTAATATTTTTAACATTTTTCTTTTTTAAGATTTTATTTTTAAGTAATCTCTACACCCAATGTGGGGAGCTTGAACTTACAACCCTGACAACAAGAGGTGCATGCTCTACCAACTGAGCCAGCCAGGTGTCCCTCATAATTATTTTCTACCATTGTCACCAAATGTCAAAACTTCAACCTAAAAATACTTGATCATTTTAACAATCGGGTATATTTTGCAGCTTTCAAGATATCTTGAAGAAATAGTGCTGGTGGGTGTTACAAACTCTTGTTGATACTCTATTATAATACATCATCCAACTGAGAAACTATGTATATAGATAATAGTTCAACTTTGTCAGTTTCAAGGATTCAAAATTTTTTATTCTTCTCTTCCCTTACTCCATCTCACCAGTAATAGATGCTTGTTAATTCTTCCTCCCAAATGTCTGTTATATCCTTCATATTACTGCTTTTCCCTTTCTGAGAAAACAGCCTCAGAGACAACTATTGAAATGATCCTCTTCAAACAAGATAAAAACACAGAATAAAGTGTATGATGGTACATTAAGCAAATATTTTTTAAAGTTCAGAATACAAAATAGTAATTGTAACAATGTAAAAAAGTATATGGACAAATACTTTTAAGGAAAATATTCTGAAGTATATAGACAAGGTAAAATGTTCATTAAAATCATTTTTAGATATTTAATAATTTTAAAAGGCAATTGTATTGTCCACAAACACTAATTTCATCATACCATAATCCAGTTCAGAAATCTACCTAAACTATATTCAAAATTGATCATTTAAAAACCATTCACCTGGGGTGCCTGGGTGGCTCAGTCAGTTGGGCATCCAACTCTTCATTTAGGCTCAGGTCATGATCTCGTGGGCCGTGGGATCGAGCCCCACATCAGGCTCCATGCTCTGCAGGGAGTCCGCTTGAAGATTCTCTCTCCCTCTGCCCCTCCCCTCCCTCTCCCTCTAAAATCAACAAATCTTAAAAAAAAAACAACATTCACCAGTTGGTCTCTCCTCTCCTTACCTTTCCATCCTTCCAAAATTCTCTTATCATCCTTACTGTATCCCAACTACAAACTTATTAGAGCATAGAGCACTTCTAACAACACCTAACATTTGTCTTTGCCACCAAGCCTTTGATGAATTTTCTTACCACTGTTAGAGACTAAGAAAGACAAAAGGAGCTCCGGACAGCCAGGGCTTGGTCCGTCACTATCACTCCGGTCTTGTGTCGCTGGGAGTTGGCTCGGCACTTAGAGCCATGCCAAGGTGTTCATAACATTTTATTTGAACATAAACAATTTCGGAGAACACCCCAAATCAGACAAGGCCACTCTGACTTTATCTGAACAGAGACAAAAACAACACTGTCCAAACCAAGAAATGGTCAAACACTCCCCTTTTATGCTAATATGTCTGCTTCCTCACCAATTCTAGTTTTAGCACCACTATGTTCTTCCTGCCTTCTAGGTAAGAATTACTAGGACCCCTGGGGCGCCTGGGTGGCTCAGTCAGTTAAGTGGCTGCCTTCCGCTCAGATCATGATCCCAGCGTCCCAGGATCGAGTCCCGCATTGGACTCCCTGTTTAGTGGGGAGTCTGCTTCTCCCTCTGCTCCTCACCGTGTTCTTGTGCTCTCAAATAAATAAAATCTTAAAAAAAAAAAAAAGAATTATTAGGATCCCCAATAACGAAATTACTTCTGCTTTTTGACAGCATCAAACCCTTGCTTTGACCTTCCCCCAAATCATAAACCCAAATCCTAGAAGTCCTTTCTAACACCTTCTCACTGAGATGCTTCAAGGTTCCACATGATGTGCCATGTTCCTCAGTGCTACAAGTTAATAAATCCAATTTTGTTTGATTCAGGTGTGTTCCTGATGGCATTTTGTTATATATGTTCATTATCAATAATACTATTAGCTTTTTTTAAAAAGATGTATTTATTTATTTTTAGAGAGAGAGAGAGCAGAGGAGAGAGGGAGAGGGAGAGAGCGTCTTAAACACAGTCCATGCTGAGTATGGAGGCTGACTCAGGGCTCAATCTCACCGTCCTGAGATCACAACCTGAGCCAAAACCAAGAGTCAAACGCTAAACTAACTGCACCACCCAGGCGCCCCAATACTATTAGTTTTTATAATGGTTTTCATTTGTATTTATTTTAATCTTATTCAAAAAACATATCTAAAAAGC